AAGCAGAATTACAATCTTCAACAATCTTTACAATTATTAACATCTCAAACGATTAGTTTAGCGAGTTTAAAAAAAAGATAACATAAAGTCATCTGACTTTTTGGGGTATAATTATTCATTCTGTTCGAAACTAAGCTAAACAATAACAAATGTAATTAACTTCTATAAACAGAAGTGCACGCTAACATACTTCAACAGAGTCCGATGGCTCAGTCAGGCTTGAGGTAATCAAAACTTTACAACAGCATATATCACAACTTAAAAAGTGCCATTACACAACAGGGTTCATTCTGTAGCTTTAATAGCCTGCCTGTCAGATGGGTGGCAGGATTAGGGGGTGATAGGCTCTTAAAGGATAGACTATATTCAGGGTTTTATTCCCTGCTTGGTGCTGACCTTGGTCCTGAAATACGAGGAAGGTCGGGCCGAATGGCTTCTGTTCGTTCTATTATTGAACACCGTCTGGACAGTTTGCACTGCCGGCAGGAGTCCTTGTTAACCCTGTCAATCTCCCACAGGGGTTGTTGACGCACTCTGGCACCCAGCTGAGTCTGAGGATTTGACGTGTGCAAACAAGGCCGAGTAGATAAAGAAGCATGTGGGGAGAAGGCAACCGGGTGTCCTGAGATTCGGCAAAGAAGGACGCCGAACATCCCGAGAGGCAGACGGGAGCACTGATCTTTTTAATTCATCAACACTTCCAGGAGTTAAAGGAGCGGTCCGTCCGAGCAGCATCCATGGAGCCCACCGTTAAGACAGTGGAGGCAGCAGATGCTCACTTACAGAGGCGAGGCTGGAGGTTTGCGATGAGGCGGGGAGCCTCGTCGCAGTTTGTCGGCAGCACCATCATGGTCTTGTCCACTTATGCTGTCGCTACCCTGACCATGAACTTTGGGAAAAACTTCCAGGAACGAAGATTGAGACCAAACGGCAATTAGCAACAGCGGCCTCATCTAAGATCTGAACCTCTTCTCTCCAACAGTGGCACAAATGGCAAAAAGAGCTGAAATGAACAATGAAATGAACTAAACTGGGTCACTTCAACTCACCTGAACTTTATGCTGCGATGGATGTGAAGAAGGTCAAGTCAACAACTGACTCATTTTTTTTTTTACCAGGAAATCAATATAATCTGGTTGTGAGTAAGTGTCCAACATGAAATAGGAGACCTGGCCGTAGATGTTAAATAATGAATGGGCACAAATGCTTTGTATGCAGTGGTGCCATGTCACCACAGGGTGGAGAACTGGGACCTCCTCACTAATTCTTTGGTTTCCAACAACAAACCACAGGACCACTGGAGATTGGATGTGTCCTCTATCTCAAAAAGATGTGCAATGACAATATTGACCACAATCCAATGCATTAGAGAGATGACATTAATAAAGATGAGTGACTGATATGTGATATATGACTAACAACTAAAATATTGAATATTTGTCTATGTCCTTTGATGTTTTTTTCTTTAAAATGCCTGTGTGACTGCGTGACAGTGGATTGTAGATGTCTATATTCTAAATGTATGTCAGCTGATTGTAAAGAAAAATGATCCATGTTGTGTTGGCTTGAAACACTGTTTTTGAATAAATGGTGAAATATATTCTAGGGTGCAGATTTCTGATTTTTAATGATTTGCTGTTATCTCACACCTGGACAAAAAGGTCACAAGATTAAGATACAAAATAAGGGTTTAAAGGGGAAGAGTAGTCCACAGGTAGACATAGTGTACACTAGCTAACTTAATGATTTTTGTAATAGAAACACATAAATCACAGAAGTCATTGATCCTTATTGTTCCATCTGCAAACCTCAGACTGTTGGTGACATTTGAAACAAGTCTTCTTCGCAAAAACCCTAATTAGCAACAACAACAATTTGGTATTTTACCAGTGACATTTCTATCAACTGAAAGGTCAATGAATCTGACCTTCCTTTGAGGGACGCTTCGACACTAGCAGTATTGGTTCCTTACAAAGTAGCCTAATATAAAGTACAGCTGGCTGAGATAAGATGCAGGATGATTTTCCAAATGACCAGATAGCATTGATCTTAAGGAGTTTCCATGCAGGCCTAAAGGCTAATGTCATTATCTCTGACATCCTCTGAATTGGGCTTACTCATGATGAGGAAATAGAAGAACATCCTGAAGTCTCTGACTCTCTGCAATATGTTCATGCAATACACCAGTGGTCCCCATCTCCTGCAGCGCCATCTGTCATGTTCCAAGTTCAAATTCAATACAACTAACTTACTTGAAGAGACAGAAGCTGGAAGGTTCAACCTTTTAGTCAATACTTTTAGATAATTATTTGTTATACCCTATTGTTTATCCATTACTTTTATCTGTTACTTTTAGCTATAACTAACTGTTTATCTGTTACTTTTAGTCAACTATTTCAACTATGTATCTGTTACTTTTAGCAAACTTCAACTGCTTATTCGTTACTTTTAGCAAACTTCAACTGTTTATTCGTTACTTTTAGCAAACTTCAACTGTTTATTTGTTACTTTTAGCTAACAAAAGGTTTATTCGTTACTTTTAGCTAACTAACTGTTTATTCGTTACTTTTAGCTAACTAACTATTTATTTGTTACTTTTAGCTAACTAACTGTTTATTCGTTACTTTCAGCTAACTAACTATTTATTCGTTACTTTTAGCTAACTAACTGTTTATTCGTTACTTTTAGCTAACTAACTATTTATTCGTTACTTTTA